TCAATGGCCTCCCCATCAGAATTTGTAAAACTCTCGGGCCAGCAGGACTATAGCATGCCTTGCCACTTAGAACATCAGAGGATAACAGTGTTCAGCATTTATGCAATTATTCCTTGAAAAGCACTTTGTGCCCGGTGATGCAAACATTAAGGTAGGTGAGAGGTCAGCAAAACGCCTTTTCTGTTTGATGTTCCTATTGTGTTATCTTTTTTTATTTTTGTTTTTGTTTTGTTTTTTGCTTTTGATCTTTTTAAGACAGGGTTTCCCTGTAGCCCCAGCTGGCCTGAGCTTTGTAGACCAGGCTGGTTTAGAACTCACAGAGATCTACCTGCCTCTGCAGGATTTAAGGTGTATGCCACCACGCCTGGCCCTATTATATTATCTTAATATGAACAGAAACTTCTAGTCACTGTTAGACTTATTATTAGCTATTTTTATTATAAAGTTAATATATCTGCAGAGAGAAATTCTATGTATGTATACCACATGCAGAAGTATGTATCAGAACAGTTAATGGATTTGCTAGGTCTTCCGATTAGAATTAGGTTTATAACAATACATTTATTTATCTGTGGGTGTGTGCAAGTGTGTGTTCATGCATGTGGAGGCTAGAGGTCAACCTTGGATGTCTTTCCTGAAGAGCTGACCATTTTGTTTTTGAGAACAAGGTCTTTAGGATCTAGGGCTCACCAGTTCAGGTTGGCTGACTGGCCAGTAAGCCTCAGAGATCCTCCTGCCTCTGTCTCCCCAAGTGAGATTACAGGTTTTTTACACACCTGGCTTTTTACATAGGTGTAAGAAGCCCTGACCCCCTTCTGATACCTGTGGGCATTGCATGACACAAGCACACTTACATACTGGCAATATACACATAAAAAATTAAAATAAAAATTAAAAAAGATTGATCTAGACCTGCTGTGATAGAACCAACCTTCAGTTCCAGCCACTCAGGAGGCTAAGGCAAAAGGATCACTTGAGTTCAGAAGTTCAAAACCTGCCAAATGGGAGGTGCAAATCTGTGCAAAACCACAAGATCCCATCTAGAAAAATAGAAGCCACTAAAAGAAATTAGTCTCCTCTTATATTGTACCCATCTGTCTCAGCAGGGGGCTTGCATCCTCAAGGACTCCTCATGGTCCATACAAATACAGATCAGTCAGAGGAAGAGAAGGCAGAAAGACCAAAGGGACTTAGCTCTCACCCAAGTTGGATGCTTTACACAGTTTCCTTGAAAGTTCACAGAACTCTTCTACTTCCGTATAATTCCACTTTCAGAACTCAGCTAGATGGCTACATCTGATTTCAAAAGCTGGACCCAACTTAGACTCAGCATTCCATTAGTAACGAAGAAAAGTGGTCTGTTCCAGTGAAAGTTACGTGCATTTTAATGCCAATAGTTCTTGATAAAATATCCTTCAAAGGATCTGCATCCACTTAACCTTCTCACCATTGAATCCAAATTTTTCTCCCATTTAACACTCACTGATGAATCCAGTGTTCATGTTATCAATCTTAATTAAAAATAAAGCGTTGTTTCTGTTATATTTGAATTGTGTAGTCCACTTGAAGCATGAAAATGACTTCTAATAGTATCTACGCTGAACCTCTTAATGCTTTGAAGTTTAAGGTAATTTTTTGTATCTGCAACCTTTGCCTCGCAGTGGGGACCAGTCTCTATTGGGTCTGGAGTGCTTTGCTGTGACCTGCTGCTGGATTAGAATAGGATACCCTTACTTTCTTCCTGGATGTCTGCATTCTTTTCTATGTGTGTCTACAGATAGCATCACAGCAAATTCAGGTAATTTCCTAATTGATGTAAGGAGTAGCCAGAGAAAGCTTGTTGTATTTGAAGTGACCAAAATAGCTCACTGTGTGAGTAGAGTAGAACTGCTGGCCCATTTTATGGCATTTTTGGTTGATAATTAGTTCTCAAAGAGCATGTTGTTGGGCCATAGGGCAGCAACCCAGTGTCGTTCCAGAGGCATTGAACATGCAGTCACTGGAAAAGCATGTTTTTCTTCTTGCCAAATACAAGTAGGTTATTTAGGAGGAAAGGGGAGGGAATTGAAAATACCAATTTTCTCTGTACCAGAACATGCCTGACTTAAATCAGTAGTTAAAATTGTGGTGCATAAAATCATACTGTTTTCATAGCAGAGGCTCCTGGTTCATAGTTAATAAACTAGAAAATTAACCCTATTCTTTAAGAAACTTGGAGTGTATAATGTATACTATATGTGCTTGCTATTGGTTTACCGAAACTGGCTCATCCATTTTTCTTTAGATCCAGAGCTGCTAAATACTATCAAAAGAATGAAGAGAAATGGTGGGAGGTCTAACATGGAAAGAGGAGGGAACTCTATCTAGGTTTCCACATTCATTGACATGTTATAAAGACAGAGTCTATGTGGCCAGGGCAGTGAGCGAGGTTGGGTAGAGGGCAGCTCATGGATAGGTTGAGAACTGAGAAATCTCCCTCCTAAGACTGGTCTGATGTTCCATAATGGAAATCTGGACCCTGCTGAAGCTGGATAAATGTTAGAATGAGTATTTCCCTGAGAATAGATTGCCCAAGTCAGGGAGATGGGGTGAGTGGACATAAGTGGTATGTTCTTGTGTCTGGTAGAAGAAGGTAAGAGGTAAGCTCTACTGATAAATCTGTTTATCATAAGCAAACTACAACATGCCAGCAACAGCTGAAAAGGATGACAACTGATACAAGTTAATAGCAACAAAATGATGGTGTTTGAGGATGCTTTTCTCACGTGTGTGTGTGTGTGTGTGTGTGTGTGTGTGTGTGTGTTTTGCCTGCATGTATATAAGTGCATCCATATTTGCAATGCCCACAGAGGCCAGAAGAGGGCACTGGACCCCTGGACTGAAGTTATGGTTACCCACCCTGTGGGCAGTAGGAATTGAACCTGGGTCCCCTGGAAGAACAGCCAGTGCTCTTTACTGCTGAGCCATTTCTCTAGCACCTTTCTTCCACCTTTTTATTCATAGCTTATTATCGAGAAGTCTAAGGGGTCTCTGCAGAACCAGGTCAGAGCATTGAAGCACAAGAGCAGTGTCTATCTGCCGGCCAGTGGTGCCCTTGCCTTGATTTTGTCCCATTTTTTTTTTTTTAATTAGAAGAAGCATTTCATTACAACAGCATTAACCTATTCAATAACATGTTTCTGAGCTAGGGTACATCTGTTTCAAAATTGGCTGCACATTTCTAGGTTTACAGATGAATTATTATGCTTATATAATCTTTTACTCATTATAAACTCTATAAGACATAAAATTAAATGAGGTTCCAACGTTTAAAAAAGATCTCCACTTCGTTGTCAAAACACACAGTTTCATACAGAAGAATTCATTCCAAGGCAATTGACATTGAGACGTTTTCACATGCATTTCCAATCTCTATATACATGACTATCACTGGTCACAGTCGCCCACCTTCTGAGCTCCTCGGCATCTGAGCATGAATACAAACTCGTCAGCTAGACAGCCTTCCTCTCCCCCTAGAGCCTCAATACTCTGCCACCCCTGCCACTGTCCACTGTGCTGTCAGCACCCCCATCCATTCCCCCCTATCCAGTTTTCACATGCATTTCCAATCTCTATATACATGACTATCACTGGTCACAGTCGCCCACCTTCTGAGCTCCTCGGCATCTGAGCATGAATACAAACTCGTCAGATAGACAGCCTTCCTCTCCCACTAGAGCCTCAATACTCTGCCATCCCTGCCACTGTCCACTGTGCTGTCAGCACCCCCATCCATTCCCCCCTATCCACCCTTCTGGTAAATCTAGTCAGCCAGAGGTCCCTCTTCCTGGAGGATCAGCTGTTCCTCATCTACGGCAATCCATTGTCAGTATTCCTTTGGATAGAATTGGGGTCTGCTGTTCATTTTTCCAGTAGTATGTTGGGTTACTGTCTGGAAGAGCCTTTATCCATCCTGGCCAAGAACTCGACTGAAGGTATCACTTGTCTGGCTTTGCTGTTTGTCAAGTAGCTTTTAGTTAGATTTTGTCCCATTTTTAAAGAGAGGAAAAGAAAGCTGACTAGAACAGTACTGCCTAGTACTTTCTTTTGCAGTTAAGGACATGTGAGCAGCTCATTAGTTGAAAGAGGGAGATGATCAAGAACTACAAGGACCTCAGGTGGGGTCTTCCCAGGCACAGGACTCTGATATCAGAGGCACTGGAAATTAGCATTCCCCGTGGCCCAGGAGCAGCATAAGCCGCAGCTTCCTTGCTCCTGCCCTCCTTGATGGGGTATTGCTTACAGCCCTGGTTAGTCTGGAATTCATTTAATCCAGCGTGGCTTTGAAATCCTGGTTCTTCTGCTTCACCTGCCTCCCCCAGTGCTGGGATTACTGGCCAGCAAGAGTCTGTTTTAGATGAGTTCCCACCTTGCCCCCATGCCCACCAGTGGAGATGGGTAGGCACAAAGGGGGAGGTAACTGCTAAAACAAATTGGCCAAAGCTGATGGCTATGTGAGTATTTAATAAGTTGTCCAGAAACTTTGAGTTGGGGATCCTAAATCTTTTGTGCTAGACAATAAGCATGTCTTCTGCTTACTTTGGAAGGAGACACTATCAGTCACTGTGCCGATGCACATATCCTTGAATGATAGTCCAGAACAAAGAGTCACTGTAATTTGTTTCAAGACTTGCAAAAACACAAGACACCCAAGGGAAATTATCTTCCAGCCTAGATTTGTTGCTTTTTAGAGGAACTGGTATCTTCACTTCTCTTTCCACCAATTACCATCAGGGGTTGGCCATCTTTCTTACTTGGGAAGACTTCTGAGGTCAAAGCTGTTTGAAAGGACCTGATGGACTTGTTTCTGGAGAAACAGCTAATATGAGGTAATACCGTTTTACATGATACTTCAGAGAGTTGGAAGTGTGTTACTTAAAGATACTTAAAAATGCCTCAGCAACTTCTATTCCTGTGTATTTTTTTCCTTGGTTTGTCTTGAAAAGGGATCTTTTTTCTTTCTGTGTGGGATGGTTGATCTTGAGCCTGTGTGGAGCAAGCTGGCCCCAGACTTTGCCAAATCCACATTTCTTTGTCTCCAATACTTAACGTGTCCAAGGATAAAGAACCAAAAACATACCTTTGCAGGAGGAGAAAAGAGATGAATCTTATTACCATCCTCCCATTTATACAATGGTTTGTTGAGTTTAGGGAAAGAGCTAGTATTTGGTCATGTTATGAGTTCAACACATTTCCTGTTAGCAGATGAAGAACCCAAGGAGAAAGAGCTGGGAACTTCAGGAGACTCCCCAGATGATGGGCTTCAAAGGAAGTTGAGGGAGAGGATCTAAGGGTTAAATCTGCCAAATCTGACTCTACCAAGGCAGTTGTTAATATGACCAGTAGTCCCTTGTATCTTCATGAGTGGCCTGGAACTAGTGTGTGGAGACCAGTGATCTCACTTAGCTGTCACAGGTGCTTGCTAAGGTGTGAACCCACTCCCCAGCTCTTCATGGTCTGCCCTCTTGCCACTCCCCTGAGCAGTTACCGTTATTCCTTCTACCCTTTGGGCAATAGATACTACACTACTACCACTGGAAACTAATGTTTCTACTTTAAGTGCTTCAAGCTTCTATAGCCGTGTACATGCAGTGTACTAGAACTTAGTATATATTAATACTAAAATATCATAGTCCTAGTGTGTTTTTAGCTGATTTAATCTCATGCATGTTCAACCTGCATCACTCAGGAAGCAGTCTGCTCTTGTACATCCTAGATTTTAAGTTTAAATGTAGAAACATCTCAGTGGCTTGGTGGAAGCTTTTCCAGAAAATGGAATGAGTATGTGACTGTTTAGTCAGTATAAATGCCCTTTCATCATTTAATCATTTTATATAGGTTTTTGAGTTGCCTGGTGCTCATCTTTCTGTGCAATAGGCACCCAGGAGTGTCCTGGAATCATTGGTTGACTCACTTCAGCATTTAACAATATCATTACGTTCGTCATGCCACTTTTGCATCCTGTGGTTTTTGAACAAGAAAAAAATCTTGTAAAACCAGTATAGTGAAACATTGCACATACAGGTGAGGTGGTGAGGTGGAAGGCAGTTCCTCTGAGGTCTCATGTTAGCTGAATTTCAGTGGAGTGTGGAAAGGGTGCTGTTGGCCTGAATCACTGCAGAATTGGCTGTGTTGTATTCTTCATTCCTATGAAGAAAGTCATCAATTATTTTGTTTGTAGATGGCCAACTTGAGATATTTTGGTATGTGGCTTTGGTTTCCTTTCACAGCTTCTTTCACCTTGATTTATCGTGTTAGAATAATTAACACTGACACTTGGAAGATAGCCTGTTTCCAAATGTATACACTTGTCTGTTTGGGGAATGGTAACTCAAACTTCTTCCTTCCTTGGGTCAGAAGGGTGCCCCCCCCAAAAAAAAAAACTTTCCGGTATGTGTAACTGATTGACTGTGCCCACACATTGACATATAGTTCAATGCTACCAAAAAGAACTTAGTTACTTTTGAAATAATAAGACAAAAAGAACAGTCTTTCTGAGTTATAACATCTAAAAAGCTGGAAACAGTTGTGCTTCTGTGATGCTAGAGCCAGTAAATTTCATGGGAAGAACATGATTTGTAAACTAAGAACTGAAAGCAATTTTCCTGGATTTCAGCTGTCAGACTCTCATGCTGTTTAGGAAGGCTCTCTTACCTTCTCAGCACCTCCACACCTGTCCTTAGATGTGCTTGTACTCTCGGCTTTCTGTTGCAGCAGGTTTTGATGCCCAAAGAGTTGTACACATTGGCAACTGTCATGTAGTTTGCTACCCAAATTTTTGATTGAGATTAAACAGAAGCATCCTGACTGTTGTCACTTGGCAGGCAAAAGACATCATATTTAAGATTCACATAGTTTTAAAACAGGCTAATCTTTTCTGTCTTAATAATATACTAATAATGTGTTTTAAGTAGTATAGAGTAGAGTCCCTGTTTCAGATTAAGCCTCAATCCTAGCAAGGTCCAGGACACTAGCAGACATTTACTTCATGTGTCTAACTTGGATCCATAGCATAGTGCCAGCTGTTTGAGGACCATATTTTAGGTCTTCTAGGGACAACCAAATAATGCTGACTTGACTCTTCTTCAGTACAGGAAGCCACCAAACGTGAGGTCTTTGCAAGTTTCTTGGTCCCCTATTAGTGGGGCCTCAGCCAGTTTGGGAACTTCAGAGGAAAACACATGGCGGTAAGAGCTTTGGCATTAGCTTCAGGCTGGATTTCCATTCCTACACTTACTGGATAAATTGTTTAACTTTTCTGCACCTTAGGTTCCTGCCAACAGGCATGTGGGGAAAAGAAAATGAGATCAGATTTGTCAGGAACAGAGCATTGGTCCTGGCAGGCAGCAAATTCATTTCCTTCAGATTGCAGGTGAAATAGACTGTTGGATTTTCCTTCTTGTGTGCTTGCTTGGAGTAGACTTAGAACCAAGGTGTGTCATCTGTAGTTTTGAGTGAGGGCCTCTGAGGACTATGAACCATTCTCATTACCAAGCTAATGACAGCCCTCATAGCACCCCAAGACAGGCTAAGAGCCAGCTCTTCTCCCGGACACTTCTGCCAAGGCCTTGCTCTGTCCAGCAGTCTGTACTCTGTCATTTTGTTCTTCTTCCCATCCCTTTGATAGAAAACCTTAAGTCTGGAGCTAGAGAGGTGGCTCAGCAGTTAAGAGCACTGACTGCTTTTACAGTGGATCTAGGTTCAATTCCCAGTACCCACATGACAGCTACAAACCATCCTTAACTTCAGTTCCAGGGGAATCCGAAACCCTCTTCTGACCTCCGCTGCATTGCATGACACAGGTGCACTCACATGCAGGCAATACACTCACTTGCACACACAAAATAAAAAAAATAATAAATAAAATATTTTTTAAAGCATTTGATAAACATTTTTTGGAAGATGGTGTCATAAAAGTGTAGTGTAATTCCAG